AAAAAAAAAAAAAAATATAGTAAGTTGTAAAGGGTTTATCGAAATAATAAATAAAATAAAATAATTAAAATTAATTTGAAATAAAAGCATGAGAGAAATGTTTTGAAGTGATAATTGATTAAAATAATGGGACTGGATTGTGCATTGAGGTTGATGATTAAATGATACTATTATTTATTTACTAGTATCGATCTTGTGCAACTGCACAGATGTAAATAATTGTATTATCATAATTGATTAAAATAAATAGAAATGGTTTTAGGCGGGAATGAAATGTATTTTTATTAATTGTTTTGCTATTAATTATATAGATATTGATAATAATATTGATGACAGTGAGGTTAAGTTAAAAAAAATGGTTGAGTCAAAATGTTGGGTTTTTTTTAAAATTTTTTGTATGCAAACATACCTTTAGAATTATATGCAGATTTTTTTCCTTTTACCCTCTCATTTCTTATTGTTTTTCTACAAATCTTAAGGTTTCAATCAAATCCTAAATAATATAAAAATTTGCTTCGAAACAACTGCAGTAAAAAAGAAAGGTAAAAATACTCGGCGCTCCCCAAATTCGAAACCCTTCTCCCCCGGAAATCGTCGGCACCAACTCCTCTTTCTTCACTTCCATTTAGTCTTCCTCGGCGAAAACGGGGCTCGACCAGTGGTCGCCCTCGGCCGCTCAACCATCTCTCTGCCGTTGTGCGCCTCCCAAGGTCCTCTGTGATGGCGGCCGCTGCGGTCAGGACGACCTTCCTTCTCCTAGCGAGGCTTCACAAATTCCGGTCGCTGGCTTCCCTGAGTTGCATCGACGTTGGGCGGCGTGCGGGTTAGGAGGTGGGGTGAGACTCCGGTGGTTTGTGGCGCTTTGCGTCAGGGCGGTCGGAGTGGAGGAGCTAATATTCTCTTCTTTCCTCGGTTCCCTTTGTGGGGTCCGGTGGAGCCGGCGCGTCTGTGCTTGGGTAGTGGTGGTAGCAACGTGGAATGTGCTGGTCTAGGCTAGTGGTGTTAGACGGGTGAGGAGTATTCGGTTCCCCCAGCTGGGGACGAATCGTTTCTCGGGTTTGATTTTAGGCTTTGTTTCGCTTTCAGCTAGGCAGATTGACAGTTTTGGTTGTAGTTCTTGGGCCTTTGGATCTCGCTCTGAAATTGATTGATCATCCGCTGGTTCGACTCGATCTTCTGTTGTGGAAGGGCGTTGTTTGTTAGTTGTTTAGGGTCTTTTGTTGTAGTTTGGTTTTGTGTTCTCTGTGCTTGTGTTGCACAAGTCTTGTGTTTTTTGTTTGGACTGATGGGCTCTATGCGCCCGAATGTGACCTTATTATTCCGTTATATATTATATATATATATATATATATATAGGGTTGGGTTCCAGTGAGAATGACTCTTACTGAAAGAAATAGGAATGAATTTGGTACACTAGATCAATGAAATCGGATGGACACAAGATATCCGCTGAAAATCAATTACCACATCAATTGCAGGGTAATAATGTAATTACGTCAATTTCATGACTTAATGGCAGATCTGCATACCCGCACCTAGCCCCTAAAATCCCGAAGCTCCTTCATACCCTCACCTAAAGCTCCCAAAATCCCCCAGCTCTTTCATACCCTCACCTAAATCTCCTCGATCCTGCATCTGTGTGTTTTTTGCGATCGAATTTTCACTGTTTCGAGCTTGATTTTTCCAATATTACATGAGATTTCTATACCAATATCGATTCGCGAGTCTGAACCTTCAGATTGAAAAGCCATATCGCATACTCGACAGCGTCAGGTATATTTTCTGATTAAACTTTCGATTTTGGTCAGTTATTGTACGAAATTGAGTGTTGTTGGGTTAATTGTCTAGATGTCAAAATATGTAGTATTCATATTGTAAAAAATGGATAGCTGATCTGATATACTTTGTTTTTTGATGTGATTTTAGGGACTTCATACGGTTTCTTGGTTGAGTTGCATAAACAATGGAATTAAATGACACTTAACCATGTAATTAGGACAAATTTTTCTATATTGTGATAAAGTGCAACAGTCGATTCGATTGCGTGCAACTGTCTGTTCATTTCGGTGCAATCGGTGGGTTTTATTTATTACTACTGATATGTTTTTTTTTAGTCTGTTATTTTTCCTTGAAATGGCACTTAAGGAATGCAACTGCCGGTTGCCCAACATCAACTTTTAATCAAACAAGAGATGCATCGATCACTGGTAAAGAACAACTCTCTGTATATGCTACAATATTGCACTTTATATATTGTCGCATTGCCCAATATAAACCACACTGTTGTACTTTATAAATTATCATGTGTTCTCAAATAGGTCAGCAATCGTTGGAAAAGAACGCCAATTTGAATCGTTTGTCGGCATGGCCGCTCTTCAAGATGTGAACATTCACCCCCAACCCAATCCAAAGAACAAAGGCAGCAGGAAGAGACTAAAAAATGCGAAGGAGAATACAATTGAAAGGAAACAAAGGACGTGCAAGTCGTGTGGTGAAATAACAGACCATAACACACGTACATGTCCCAAGAAGCAACAGGCATACAAATCAAATGCCCTCGAGGTAAATGTACAAATCGTTGATTGAAGCACTAACATAAAGACTTACTTGCAATTGTCTTAATGTGTCATTTTTTTACAAATTATGCATGTAGTCTTATAATACAATTATTCTACGACATGCCTCTATACATATGTCAACATCATATATCGTTACTAATTGGTCATACGTGTTTATTAACGGTATGTGCGTACTCATACAATAGTGAAAATGCTTATGAAACGTGATTAACGAATATTAACACACACATATATACATATATAAAATACATGCAGACACAAGCGACAGGCGAGGCGACAAGCGGTTGATGTGAATTCATCTCGGGTCAAAATGCTACGATAGGACATTTGGTTAATGTTATTTTTTATTTGGATTTTTATATTTTTTTTATTTTTTATCTGGGAAAGGTAGAGACGTGTGGTTGTTTGTTTAATAAATATTGCTCTTTGTATCACTTGATCATTGACGTGTATTTTACGACGATCATTTTAATGTTATTTTTTTTAAAGCGGTAAGGATTGATAATTAATATGTTTGTCATTTTTTGGTGTGCACATCGACCACGAATACAATATTATAATGTACTTTTTTTTGGATAATACGTAGCACTTTTATGAATATTACATCGCACTCCTTTCAACATCGTGTTGCTCTTATTATTCGTTATATGTTATTGCACGAATATTAGTCCAGAAAAAAGGGTGTGATACGATATGAAAGATGTAGTCGACGCGTGAAATGTGCTGATTGGTGATTCAGTCAGGGGTTGATGCCATATAGATTTCGTATGAACAATTACGGTATATCAATGAACGGTAGTGTATGAACCCATGTATTCATGCAATTGCGAAATCATTCCCTATAACGAACAAACACATATTTATTTGCTGATGAAATCATGTTAGAATTGGATGTTATTGCAACAAATTGACATCACAACAATCACGCATCCGACAACCTGAGGACTTATGTATATGCTACACTGGTGCACTTTATATATAGTCACGTTGCACAATATGCATCACACCATTGCACTTTACAAAATGTAAAGTCGCACCTTATCTACGCACTCCCCAAATAACGTCAATAGCTCCATCCAATAATCCACAAACCTTGAACCAGAAACTTATTCTA